TCCAACTCAACTCATGTCCACCCCTATTCTTACCATAATTTTTATAAAAGTATCACATTTTAATTGTATTTCAAAGGTCTATAATTTTTATTTGTTGTTACTCGTGTTCCCAATTTTTTTACTGTATTCTTCTTATCAACTTTCCATTAGTTAGCACAAATTGTCAATGATTAAGATTTCTTTCGAAAAATTCTTTATTCACACTTTTGTATTTTTTTTCCCATTTATTTAAAATTACGATAGGCAAATAATTATTTTATGCTCATTTTAATAGAATTTTCGGACGAAAACCATTATCATGTACAAGATGTGCCAATTACTGGCAAGGTTACATATAAGAATTTGATGAAGAAACAAGGACATAACTATGATAATAAGAAAAGGTCAGAAACATTCAGTGTAATTAAAATGTCGGGCACTTGTACAAAATTGTTGTGTCAATGTCATCACCTTTTTGGAAATATGACTTAGTTTTGGTGGCAAGTTAAATTATACTTGTGGAAATTTCACAAAATGTCCATTTTTTGTGTCCATTTGCAAAAATGTACACCAATGCAAAAATGTCCATTTTGAAAGAATTTAGATCAAAATACTTTTGTTAACAATTTATAATTCCACACAAACACAAAAATATCTACTTTCTTAAAAAATTTATTGGCCAACAAAATTCTGACACATAACTCTAACCTATTTATTTCAAAAGTACAATTGTCAAATCGCAATAAATTCAATTTTTCTCATTGACACAGAAATATCGAAAACGACATTTCAAATGTAGAGAAATGTCATGTTTAGAATGAAATGTCATTCCAAACATTTAATATATCGAGAATAACATTTGAAATGTCGAGAACATTTAATATTGTGATTTGACATGTGTACTTTTGAAATATAAATAGGGTTCAAATGTCGAGAATATCATTTAAATGTAATTTCTCATGAAAGCTACTTCTCGAAATTTGTGAAAAATTGGAAAAAAAAAATTGCTTCATTTTTCCATTTAATGGGCAATTTGATACAAAATTCAAAATGGTGGACATTTTTCAATTGATACCCAAAAAGTGGACATTTTTTAAAATGCCCCATTATAATTCTGTGCAACCTACCATACGCTTTGATAATTACAAGATAGGTGTAAACGGTCAAAGTCTATTTGTTTGATTCAATTTGTATATATATATATATACATATATATATATATATATACATATATTTTTATTTTTTTTCTTTTTTTTTTGCATTAACTTTTAGATCAAAATGCCGGCGTTCCACATCTCAATTCAAGCACTTCG